CTATAAAGAAAATCAAAATTTAATACACCAGTAAACAATCCGCAACTGCAGTCCAAATCGAAAATCACAGCGGGCCCGTTACTAATGATCTCGCGTCACTGCCAGAGGTTAATTAAACAGTGAAAAACAAATAAGAAAGTCATACAAAAACCAGAATTGTTGTTATAAGTAATTTTCCACACAATATTATTCAACCAAATATTAATTGTGGTTAAAAAACGCATGTGTGCGTGGGCGTATGGTATAAGGTTTTAACTATATTGAGAGATTACAGTATTATAATATATCTTTTTTAGGATAAAAGAAAATCTCCCTGGGAATATCCTAGTTTACAAAAGACCATTCCTCATCTGGACGATATTTGACATTGTTTCAAATTGAAACAAAAATGGTACATTATTGGAAGCATTATGAAAACACAATGTTTATATATACACAGTACGTAGTTTGGAGTGATACAAATTTAAGTTCCATTCTATATGTATTTCACTATTTTTCTTAATTTTGGGCATTTCAATTCAAAATGTTGAATGGGCATTTGTACTAACATTTGGCAGTTACGCCTGGCACAGGGGCGGATTTAGACTGTTGCAACTGTCAGATTTTTGGCTGGTTCTGCCCCTGACACATACATATTTGGCATAAGCTTGGTGTATATACTATAATTGCTGCGGTAGCGAGCGAGCGTGAAGCGAGCGAGCGAGGCAGCAGTCCTAATCTTTATGTATATGTATATATATAAGGCAGATGAAATCTCGATCTTTCGCCGTATTTCGGCCTACCACAATGCACTGCTTCCGGGGCGGCAGGCTATTCTTGCCTAATAAACAGGCATAAGGCAAACAAGCAATGTGATCATCTTTCATCTTTGGTTTTCTTTTATGGAAAGCCATAGCTGGCGTAAGTGATCAAACGGCATTTTGTCGATACGCAGTGGTTCGAGCGTTATACGCGGTGGTTTCGCCATTATACGCGGTGCGTTCGCCAGTATACGCAGTGGTTCGAGCATTATACGCGGTACTTTCGTCATTATACGGGGTGCTTTTAACATAATTTCCATATTCTTTCCATGTATATAATCTCACGATTGCGTAATAAATCTGGTAGGCCTATGTGGCTGTGCTTTTTGCCTCTGGTTGACAATGACATGCTTATAAAAAGGTGACTGCACTTTGTGAGTTCTTATATATTATCATATAGTATTGATTTATTAGTAATAAATCTGTGTATATAACATAGGTATATAAATTAATATAACGCAGCAAATGCGCGCCAAGCAGTATAAACGCGGCTGAAATACGATATTAAAATCTTGAATGTGACGTATGATTTAATTATGTTTTAGGATTTAAAGCCTTTAAAAATGCTTTGTCATTTGTATTTGTACTTGTACTGCATCACAACGCAGTGTGTAAGTGAACAGATTCCACATGTGAAGTTGTCTTGTATATATTTTTGCCTTCTTTGATAAACATTATTAAACACGCAAATTTAGTGAGACGACCACTCGCACATGTTAAATGTCACATGAATGTCATTGTCATTGCCCTTTAACCCCTGGTCTAAATCATATGATTATTGAAGCGGGGCCGTTTTGACTTTGGGCCGTTTTGACTTTGGGCCGTTTTGACTTTGGGCCGTTTTGACTTTGGGCCGTTTTGACCTAGCACCGTATTTGTGGGCAAATTGTCTATACAATTTTATATACTAGATATCACAGCCATACCTGCCATTTTGATCTTTTCCTCGCGTTAGATAAGTTGATAAGTACACTCATTCTTGTTAGCCATCGTATACCTGTTCGGCTGTTCCTCTTTCGATACGAAACTTCGAGTGCCGAGTTATCATACGGCACATTCAAGTGTATAAATTATGGATGATTCCAATTCATTACGAATATTTCTAACTCTTATTCTTTAAAATATTAAGAGGCAATTTTTTTCAATGTCACGTATTTGTAATGAAAAGTGTTCAAAACCTAAAATCTTTTTGGCTTCCTCTCAAAATTACTTTGTTTTAGATTTATTCTCTACAGTTTATAGAGTTAGCTACCTTTTTAAATGCGTCTGCCGGTTGAGAAACATAAAATAATAGTTAAAAATTGCCAATTAAAATACAATTATCAATGATGTCTTAAAATTGACGCTATATTTACAGCCATTTAATTTAAGCAAAACGTACTGAACTTCAGACATCATTTTCTCTTTGGCGTATCATCTAAAATCTCTTCATTTTAGCATTATTTTACAGATAAAGCACTAAACATACTTTTTAAGGGTTTTTTTTACCGATTGAGAAACGTATCGAAAAATAAAAATTTTGATTTTAGTCATAATCTCGTGTGGTATATTATACGCATTAGTTTTGAGCGCGTGTTACGTGACATACAAAAAATCTCATTTAAAGATTTGGGAACAATGCTATACCAAGGCAGCATTCACTACCCTATGGGTAAACTAGTTTCAAACTTGCTGCGCGGTTAATGCTTCCGAAAAGTGGCTCTGTATAGTAGCCATATACGTTGATATGAGTGTTGGTTGCGCATCAGAATCATCGCACCGCAGGTTTGATTCGTACGTGCCAGAGGGCCTATAGTATAGTTGCATTTTTCGCAGCTGCTCTTGGCTAAAACTAAAAAATTTCTAAGCTATTATATAAGTTACCCTCGATATTCCCATTTACAAAAACCCTTCAACTTGAAAAATATAATGCCAAATCTTTCTACAAGGATTAGGAATCAATGCATGGGTAAATGTAATTTCTCGACGACTGAACATTGACAATACAGTTTTATTTACCTAATCATACTAGATAAACACGTTCCTTAGCAGCAAGCCACTGTGTATGTATAATTACCGCATTTACCAATTAAATACATTCTTTAACGCGTGGTTGGCGTGGGCGGTTAATTCATTAAGCTGTGATGTTAAATATCGCGTCCCGCGATGGAAAGCCTATATATACTCTGTTGTTCAATTTCAAATTACGAACTTGAGCGCAACTGAATTTCGACGTTCTTTTTTTAAACAGCCAACTTCTTTTATTGACAAATGGTATTATAGTCACCTAATTAAAGCTTTTGTTAATGTTTTCACACCTAAGTATCTAAAGTGCCAAAAATAAAAAGGTGAATAATCTATTCTAACTTCCTGTTCGAATGCAATTATGACAATATTGTTGGGAAATTAATTTGAAATAAAATCGAAATATTACCTTGAATTTTGTTATTTGGCTCGAATCTTGAGTTTACAAGATGCTAAAATTAAGAGTTTGTCTCCCTCTTGTATTCTGTATATTTTGCGACTTGGCTTGCTGATAAAGAATTAAATTGGTTTTAGATTAAAAAACAAATAAAAGCCCCGTTTACACTACGCTGAATTTTGGATAACAGCATTTATAACTGACTTATCCGTGCTCGGATTTTGTATTAAAATAGGTAGTCCGAGCTCGGATCAAAATAGTACGGGTTCCAAAATTGAGCGTGGTGTTCAAACAGCCTCGTTCCCAGGCTCTTTGCTCTTGGGTGTTCAAAAAGGAAAAGTAACACTAACAGCAAGAATAAACAAGCGGTAATAAAATAAATTAATGCAGTCCGAAGTGTGTATGCATCACACCACAACACATGAGTTGCATTCAAATTTCTGAGAACGTTCGAGAATATTACGAAACAAGAGTTATACGGATGGCTGAATATGTGAAATGTTTCCGATCGCGCAGCCCGAAATTCTAAAGAACAAATCCAAACCACGAGCGCGATTTATTCAACCGCAAATTCTTAAGCATTGTTCAGGGCGCAGTGTGAATTATGACGCACGAGGAAATATGCTCATGGTGGGACAATTGTTGTCATTGTTGCGCTAACTGTGCAACCGGTACAAAACAACTACAATTAATTTAATGACCTTGAGCACACAACATCTTGCACAGTATTGAAAATGTTGACTCCTTTGAATACATTTCTAAACGTTTACACTCAGGTATTCGTTGTGCGTGATCTAATATCTCTTGTAAGAAAGTAGCGCTGATGAGTGCTGTCAGTTTGCTTAATTTAAAAATATTAATTATGGACGGTCGACTGAAGTACGTACAGTATTGTAATATATGTATTTGCGCAGGAAAATGTTAACGGATGACGGATTAAATAACTTGCCGGAGTATTTAATTATAGTACCATCATGCATGGCAAATTCAGTGCACGATAAAAAGAGCAACTTTGAAATAAATCATCATTGAAATATGTCATCTATTTACGTATTAATAAATAAACATCGCGAACATGAAATGATGAAAAACATTGAAGTTGACATGCAAGTTACCATAGGTTCCGTATGACTGCATGTAAGTACCGCTCACTGTCAATTGCATAAATACTCATAACAAGCTGAAACTATCTGAAAGATATAACGAAAATTTCAACGTTGCGAGGGAAGGCCCTAGCGTCCCTACAAACGAAATTTTGTTATTACTGGCACTACATGGACCTGCACTGGCACAGACAGTTCAAGAATAAATACTCATACCTTAATTTTCCTATGTTATTCTCAAATCGTACACTTCATTTGCGAATTTTAACACTTAGGCACGAGCGAAACATTTTAAGATGATGATAGATGAAATTTTATTACTGCCAAGATATAATCGGTTTAGACAAGGATGGGTAAACAACAAAGATAAGTACACGACTACTTCGCTACGTGATGTAGTTAATTAAATTAATGTGGAAGGAACGTTTTGCATGCTACCAAAAACTAATAAATCGGAGAAGACATTAATGGATAAACACATAAAAGCTGTATATGTGCAATGAATTAACCTGATCAATGAGACACGATGGCAACCAGAACAGCAGGCATGTTGCTACCGTTTTGGAAACGGGAAGTGCTCATTACGTCAGAAAACCGGAAGAAAAAATCATCACCCTTTGGCTGAGGTTTACAGTGCGTGGGCAGTATTTTGTATTTATATGGCGCATCGAATGCAAAACGCTCTCAGTCCATATAACTAACCGCTTTTATACCGTCCACTGTGTCAAAATAATCCGAAGCAGCAATGTTGTTTCCAAAGCGCAAGGAGGAAAATCTTCTTCGTCAAAGTTTGTTGAATCGTTTCAAAGCAAGACTTTTCAAAAAGGAAGGCGTCACCAAACACAAAGAAAAAGTGCACAGGTGTACATCAGATTTGTCAGGAGTTGGCGATAGAGCACGCGCATGGAGTCTGCCCTCTGAAGCAGAACTTAAGAAATATCTGGGACCTGTGGACGAACGCTTGGTAGAAAACGCTGAAATTGCTAAGCGCAGGAGACGAACGGACGATAGACGATATTCCATTCAAATCGACTACTCATCAGATCTACGAAGTCTCGACGGCGAGGCACGACTAAGGACGACGTCTCTACCTGCAAGACGTCGATATTTTTCATCACAACAAACGCCGTTTAATTTTGTACGTTGTAAATGGTGCGAACCAATTGAGCTCCCTGGTACATTAGAACACAATGACAGTGATGACGAAACATATATTGATGAGAACGGAATATATACAACAGTACTTTGCTTCACTGAAATATAAAGACTGGTAGGATTGACAGTGCGTGCGTGTGTTCAAACATAAATACACATCGAGATGAATGAGGGAAGTTATAAACATTTAGGCTAACTAACAATCAGCAGGTTAGAAACATGATCGGACGACATACTTTCAATTTGATCAATCTTTTGTGACGATCATCTTTACTTTGTTACAAGATTTAAATAAACAATCTTGAATTAAACCTATAGCATGATAAAGTTATCGTATTGTGACTGTAAGAGGTTGACACACAGCTTGACCCAGTGTTAAGAGCTGGCCTTTGTTAAACATTGGGTAAACATAAACACAAATCATAAGCGCACTGAAATTAATCAACGCTATTTATTCAATATACTGTATATATTTTGTATGATAGTTGTTTAGGCTGTTTATATGTAAGTATCATTGCCGCGCAGGTCGTGGAAAATTGTGTAACTATATTTTATATGATAAGGTAATTAATAAATATTTTTTAAAAATTATAGACTGAAATATTTACTGACTAAACCGCGCAATTACTTGCTTGCTGAACTGATCTTGAACATCCATGTCAGGATGTGCCAATGATACGAAAACTATATGGCTGCGCAAAACAAGGGATACAACTACCTGAAAATACAAAGAGAACTTCGACATTTTGTGTAAAGGTTCTTCGTCGGGATGTTAGTGAATTTTCCGACGCAGAACCACTAACTTCACGATGAAGGGTCTTCGGCTTCGCTCGAATCGAAACATCGAATTTCTCCTTGTATTTTATAGATAGTCGCATCCCTATGAACCGAAGTTTTGTTAAAGCTTGAACTAGCTCGTTTGTATCAGCGCGCAAACAGCAAACATTGTAGCCTACAAACTAGGACTGCAATATATACTTAATTATAAAACAGGTGTAAAATTACATCGATCTTTCACTCTGCTTGATTTACTCAGTTAATTTTACAAATAACAATAATTTTACTGTTCTGCGAGTCAAGATAATTGGCGCATTAGTACAAATTGTGGGCTAGAAAAGACCTGGCTTGGATTCTATAATTTCGTAGTTGCTTCCTCCTTATGTCGCCGGAAATTTATTGTATATATTTCTCCTCCGTTGCCAAGATTTAAAAAGCTATCCGATTAGGTAAGCAAGCTAAATATAGATAAAAAAGAAGCGGAAACCTTGAAGATTCAGATGGAATTAGTGGAAGGATTTATAAACCGACTTCAGGTAATTTTAGTGCACGTCACGCTGCACTCTATTGCCAGTTTTCTATATAACAAGTTATATTACAAATTTATTTGCTCGTCTGGACGGAAACTTTGTCAATTTTACTATGGCAAGTATACACTTGTTCAAAAGCCAGTATGCTATAGTATATATAGCTTTGAATAAGTGCATTTGCCATATACGGAAAAGAATGGCAAATTAAAGTTGAATCTTGTAGTTGTTTGTCTGTGCAGCGGTCGAACAAAGAAAATTTGGCAAAGTAATGGTTGGTCAGCAATCTGTTGTTGTAATAGCTAATGACAGCTATCGTTGGTGCCAGTCAGAAAACCAAAATTTGTCCTATAGAAAATATTTTCCTGTGTACACACTTGCAATTAACAAATTGAAATTTGCCAAATGAAAAACTGTCATAGAAAATTTTCTCGTCTATACTGGTAGCACTAGTAAGCATGCAACATTAGTCATCACGTTAAAACACTGTCATGAATGGTCAGGTTGTTAGTACCATTCGTAACATTTTCAGAGTGACCAATTGGAATATATTTCAAGCCACTCAAAAAGTTTTAATTAAGAAAATGACGTCATGTTATCTACAGTGTTATATATGCAAGTGCTCAAACTAGTATATGGTCAATTTGCCTTTCATATACTAGGCTATATAATGGCCTTTATGTTTAACTATACACCTCTGCGGAGGAGAATTAGGCTGTATTAAAGCATGAGAGTTTTGTCAACTCTCATCCCCGGTCAAACGGGAGAAGAAGAGTTGCACTGATGCATGAGAGTTGAGCAGAGTTAACTGGACTGATTACCGCGGAAACCCTTATCAACTCTCATTTGTCCGTGAAGAAACTATGCAATCCTAATGTTTTCACAAAGATTTTCCCGAAATTAAATTACTTCCAGTAATTTCGTCAGAATGACTACGTGCCATCTTGACTGTATCCATGCATGCACCACACACGCCTTGACATGTTTATTTTATGTTAGCAACACCGGACAGTTGATGAAGCAATGATACATAATTAAGATGTTTTGTTCAGACATTCTGGTATTTTAATAGGCTACTAGTAAAAAATACGTGCACGTCTTAGGTGGAGCATCCATATATCTTCAGTTTGAACTTGTAAAGCAGCCAAATTAAACACGGAATTGGAATTGTATCGAATTCCGTTATTCTTTATCATACAGTTAAAAAGCATACTGCTTCCCAAAGACTCATGATTTTCATATAATTTTTGTCGGTCCACCTAATTTTATTTCACATTAAACGTTCTCGAGTTTCTCGCATTTTGTATATACAAAACTGCCCAGCACGACTGCATGATCATCGTGCAATAAAAGGATGCCTAATTTACATCGAATCTTTAATTTAGATAAATATTTAGCGAAATAATTGAATTTTGGTCCTCAGCGTGATAAACAATATCAAATTACATTATTGTTGAAAAGTTACACTTTGATGCCATTTTTTCTTACAAGCTGCCATTTGGCATTTTCTTATAACTCACACATTGGTGAAAGACTATATATGTTGGCATCTCTGCTTTTATCTTTATAGACAAAAATTTAAATTGTTTGCTTAACTGAAATGTTGACTAAAATGGAAAATTTCACGTTTACATACTATATAGCCTACCATTAGAAACATGCATAGGATAAAAGTATATATAAAAGGATAAAGCGAGTAGTGAGAATTTTCAAGGCGGTCTGTGTTAAAGGAGCTCGAAGTTGCCAACATAGTCAGGAAATCTGTTCCAAAGCACGGCACCACTATATCTAAAGCTGTTCTTTCAAGATTTGTACGGACATGGGAACAGCCATATAGCTTCTCTCAATGTCTCGCAAATTATTCGAGGTTACACTGTTACGTTTTTAGTGCATGCAGACATGGAATGCATGTTTTCAGTAGCTAGCATATTGAGGGATTTCTAGACTAGACCTTGACTGAGCCTTTTAAAACTTTCCCAGTGTAGCTTCTCAAAACGATAATCTGCATTATAGTTTCATAGCTAGAGTAGAGATATTTCCATTACGTAATGCATTAATGTACAATCCAGAAAGATTACGGTACGTGTGAATCAACCTTTTATGGTACGGGAGTGGTTGCATGGATCTCCTACATATGCCGCCTGTTTCCGCCGCAAGCTTAAATACACATGACGACCCGCACGTTTTGAAAAACAGCGGGATCTGCAAACTGAGTTTGCAACTTCAGGAAACGAGCAACGCTAATCGCATTATTAATTACCGCTATAAGATGTCATCAATCCAGGTTCAGTTGCTTAAACGCAGTGTGAAACCAAGCAAGTAATAAGTTAATTTTCTGTTATGCATTAAAATAAATAAAGTGTACAAATATGTCAGGATGATATTTACGATGCTGACTGTTGACAAGTCACCTATGGTCAGGCTATACTATAGCGTATAATGTGAAATAAGGCTGCGTGTAATAATACTCGAGCATGAGTTGTAAAACAAAACGTTCTTGATATCTTAGAGATTGAATAGCGTGAATAATTTTCAACCTAGATTTTGTTTATGTTCAAAGTATGGCATGATAATTCCATATCGGAACGTCGAACCTATTTGCCGTCTTTATAAATCTTGGCAGTATAAAAAGTGCGGCGGCTTCAATGGCTTATACACTTATACCGCCTTTCCCAAGGCCCTATATTGCGCAAATGAATCTGGAACAAACGTTTTTACCGTTTTCACCAAGATATACAGGGTGTTCAAAAAAAAGGAGACCTTTAGAAATCAAGCATATTGTTAAAATTTGAATGCCTTTTCAATTGCACATATGCTGAACCGTAGGGCGTGAAATATTGATGGGGTGCATATGTTAGAAAAAGGAGACATTTAGAAATTGAAATAACGTTTAAACAAAAGATTGTCTGCTCCTGGGAACAATCTGCCATGCATACTGTACGTAGATCGCATGTTACGCACTCGTGGGCTTAGCAAAGTGCTCCAGGATTCAAATTATAACAATGGTTGATTTCTAAAGGTCTCCTTTTTCTAATATATGCACTCCATCAATATTTCACGCACCACAGTTCAGCATATGTGCAATTGAAATGGCATTCAAATTTTAACAATATGCTTGATTTCTAAAGGTCTCCTTTTTTTTTATACACCCTGTATATCTACATATTATTCCAAAAACAATAGCTGCATTGACACCATTGTCTTAGCTATTTTACGGAATTTACGCCCGCGCCTGCGTTGTCGGGTAAAGAATAATATAAGACTCCTTTTAAGCTTCCACTGGTTAAGAAAAGATGGGACATCTTCATAACCTGTCAGCAAAAGATGGGACATCTTTCTGACACAAGAGTTTTCACTAAAGTATTCTAGATATTATTCCAAAAACTATAGCACTAGCTGCACCGCCTTATCCTAACTTAGCGTGATGTAAAGAATAATATAAGACTCCTTTTAAGCTTCCACTGGTTAAGAAAAGATGGGACATCTTCATAACCTGTCAGCAAAAGATGGGACATCTTTCTGACACAAGAGTTTTCACTAAAAGTATTCTAGATATTATTCCAAAAAGTATAGCACTAGCTGCACCGCCTTATATACCCTAACTTAGCGTGATGTAAAGAATAATACAAGACTGCCTTTAAGCTTCCACTGGTTAAGAAAAGATGGGACATCTTCATAACCTGTCAGCAAAAGATGGGACATCTTTCTGACACAAGAGTTTTCACTAAAAGTATTCTAGATATTATTCCAAAAACTGTAGCACTAGCTGCACCGCCTTACTCTAACGTAGCGCATTGTAAATAATAATATCAGACTCCTTTTAAGCTTCCACTGGTTAAGAAAAGATGGGGCATCTTCATAACCTGTCAGCAAAAGATGGGACATCTTTCTGACACAAGAGTTTTCACTAAAAGTATTCTAGATATTATTCAAAAAGCTATAGCACTAGCTGCAACGCCTTACTCTAACTTAAAGTGATGTTATTCAAAAATAGATATTATTCAAAAATCTAACGCTATCGCTGCATGCACCGCTTTACTCTTAACTTAGCGTGATAGGACTTTATAAGCCTAGGACTTTTTTAAGGACTTTTTATAATATAGGACTTTTTTAAGCTTCCACTGGTTAAGAAAAGATGGGACATCTTCATAACCTGCTAGCAAAAGATGGGACATCTTTGTGGCGCACGAGTTTCCACTATATATATATATAAATACTCATAATTACTCAGATAATAAGTATGCGCTTATAGTTATTTTGCATTCCGCACTGCGCTGTCATGCGAAGAACAAATGAATATAATATAAGGTTCTTTTATTACCAGCCACTGTATATATATGTA